TATGCATACAGAAGTGGAGTACAGGCCAGAGGTGTGGGGGGAGAGGGGTGAGAGGACTCACCAAAGACAGAGTGGGGAGCAGAACAGGCAGAACTGATTAAGAACACTGCTGAGGGGAGCAGCGAGTGGGTCAGGAGAGGTCTGTCACACCATGTGGGTCACCTCTAGGGCTGGGATCGAATTCTTAATGATGTGACTTTAGCGTCTTAGTGCTGTGCTTTAACCTGCTGCACCACCAGGGAGGGCCCTGGATCTTAGCTTTTTAAAAAACATATATTATTATTAGCAGATTTCTGGTTTTACTTTTACTGAACTGGCCTCCCAAACACTAATCATGAGAAGTCTGAAATTTCCTTAGACAATTATTCCCTAAAGCATGCAGAATTTTTGTATGAGAAGCAACTTGAGAGAAAAACCTACTCCTGCAATTTGGAAGGTCTGTCCTTGAGATTTCTCTCCTGGACCTTCCTGGGGAGACACCCTAACTATTTGAGGAGCTCAAGCTGTCTGACTCAGCAGAGGTTTTCATCTTGGCTGTACCCTGTCTTCTGATAGCACTTCAATTTCAGTTGCTAACTGTCTCTCTTTTCAAGGTTCTCCGTAAAGTCATCCAACATAGATTTTACGGTTGCCACACACTGTAAGTCTACACAAATCAATCCAACCAGGTTTAGTAATTCAGTAATAGAAAGCCAGAATTTAATTTCTTTTACCTTAATAAGAATATAATATTAATGTACTTTCCTTAACAACAATAAAAGGTAACAAAACAATAAAAAGAGAGATTGTCTTGAGAACAGCATAGAAAAAGACAAGAATAGAAGTGGAGCAGCTATTAAGAAATAAATGATCAGACACTGAGTGACAATAGTTCTGATGAGGGAGGAAAGTGGAATGGGCAGGTCTGTGGGAAACGTAGGATGCATAACTGGCAAGCTAACTGACTTGCTAGGTAGGAGAAGGAAGGAGAGGGAAGAGAAACACTTAGCTATTTAAGCAAAGCCTGAAAGCCCATCACAAGTCTAAAGCACCTTCTGGCCGGGACCCATAGAAAAGGGTCAGACATGGCCAGACAAGTCTGGGAGGGAAAGCGCAAAATCAAAACCAAGATACACACTGCCATAGTGTGGGTCTCTCACCCACATCTGTTTTACCCAGTCCAGGACCAAAAGCAATCACAGTTGCTTCACAGGTCTCTTTGCTCCAAGTGCCTCCCTCAGGTCTCCTTTGGCTCTCCATCCTGCTTCCTTGCTCTTCAGTCTCCTCTACAGATTCTTCTTCCTGCTCAGCTCCACCCTCCTGGGTGGAGCAGGGAACCTGAAACTGCCCCTTTTCTCAGAGACCACCCTGTTACAAAAGAACTGTACTTGCTCTTGGCTTCATAAGGCCAGGGTTATTATTAGGTAGACTGAGTAAGATCAAAGTCACTTTATTAGTAAGTCACGTTTTTTTCTTGAATACCAGAAGAGCTGGTTTCTAAATGAAAATTAATCTTCAAGATGGTGAATTACATTGAATTTTAGGAATATCCAGCCCAAACCAACAACCTTTCTTTTGTGGGCTCCCACCTCTTCTGTCTTGCCAAAACTACATTCCAAGGGAAGGAGGGAGTTTAGCAAAAATAAGGTTGAGTTCTTCCCTGGTGGCCGAAAGCACAGCACCATGAAGCAGACCTCTCCTGTCTCACCCGCTGCTCCCCTCAGCAGTGTATTTCATTCCATCTGCCTCTTCTGCTTCTGACTCTGTCTCTGGTAAATCCTCGCGACCCACATCTACCACACTGCTGGCCTGTACCCCAGTTCTTGTAAGCATATACAAATAAATCTTTGAAAAATAATAATAAAATAAGGTTGAGAGGAATGGGCCTCCCTGGTGGAAAAGGAAGGGGTTAAGTCTCAGCACTATGAAGCTATCAGCAGCCACTGTAGCATAATTAGATCCCTGCACAGCCAAAGAGAGCTGACCAATAGGCTCAGCAGACCTCTCCTGTCTCACAGCTGCTCCCCTCAGCAGTGTATTTTAGTCAGTCTGCCTATTCTGTGAATCCTCTCACTGCCCCCCACCCATCTCTGGTCTACACCCTAGCTCTTGTATGCATAAATAAATAAAATAAATCTTAAAAAAAAAAAAGGTTGGGCCCTCCCTGGTGGCGCAGCAGGTTAAAGCACAGCAGGTTAAAGCACAGCACTGAGAATCTAAAGCCGCTTCCGCATAAGTT